GCTTGCAGGGACACTTAACTCACGCCGGGGCTCACATGGCAAGACAGCAGACTTAAGACTGAGAGTCATTTAGACGTTTGCGCCCAGCCTGTGAGCAGAACAGCACTTGGCGTGCAAGTTTTGGGTCTCAACAATTCTGGCGCCTTGCGACACTGCGAAGGTGTCACAGGCGACGTTATTGCAAGCAACATGGGGTCTGATGCAGTGAACGAACGGGCAAGACCGAGTTCAGCCTATGATAGCAGCTTCATGCTGCCAGTCACCCAACCTGTTGGCCCAAACTTTGCCCGCAACTATGCCAATTTGCGCTCGCGTGCAAAATCCTAGGAAATCTGAACCGCCAACACGTGAAGCTGGCACGTGCGGGCTATTTGACAAAGTTGCACGGAGCGCTCCTATGCTTCAGCCTGACCTTGCAATTCATCTCGGCCCGCCCGTACGCTTCAAGTGACAGGCCTTGCAAACTCTGGCAACTCCAGCACAGCGTGCAATGTCTGATATCAAAGAAACCCGCTGCTTGGCGATACATGTTGTTGCCTTGTCATAGCTTGCGACCGCCGTCGTCCCTGCCAATCCTGCCATCGCTAGGAAACAAGACGCATGGTCTGCGCTTCTGCAACATTTGCCGAAGTTTGCAACCGCAGCATTCTATCAGCCAAGCGTTGTGTTTTGCGAGCCTCCAAGAGTTGGGTGTATGGCCGGAGCCCTGCGAATGCACGCAAAGGACGCTTGACTCGCAACTTGTGCTTTCGAGATCAGGTCACATTGCTGCCATTGCAAACATGGGACGTTCAGGCCATCAATGCGGAAATACAATTCTTACCACCTGGTTCCAAGATCAGTCACTGAACTCGTCTTCGTCACCATCTTGCGTGCAGCGGCAGCTCACAGCCGATCTGCGTTTCAACAGGCTGCCAACCAAGCCCATGTTGATGTCACCCATCAGGCGTGAGGACAAATCCCGGAGCCACAGTGGCCCACTTGGCAGCTCACTTCCGCTCACCTCTGGCGCAAGCAAAGCCATTGCAACAATCGCGCCAGTGCTGCATTTGCAAAACAATGCCAAATAGCCTGAACAGCACCCGGCTGCAGTAGTGCCACTCAAAACACTAACTGCGAAACCCTTTCCTCCGGTGACTCGACTTCAAAATGTTTGACCTCCAAACTCTCACCTACAGTTCCAAACCAGAATGATAAGGTCAGCGCACGTCCGAAACTGCAAACATTCTGGAGGGCGTTGCATCAAATACATTCGACCTGCTATGCAAAATAGCTCTAAGTTTTGTTCTGTAAAGCTGTCTGAACTGTTCAGCAAGAAACCCAGCGAATCAGTAGCTAGGCTAAATCAGCTGAGCAAACCTTCAGTAGCCATGGGCAACAAAGGCACCCTTGTTGGGGTAATTGTTTTTCAAGGGAAACCCCTCTTTAAACAAACAGGACCAAGGGCGCCAGTGTCGTTACAATTCGGAGCTGGGACATGAAGGCATATCGCCACGTGAAGCATCGCACGAGCAACCAACCAGCCAAAAAAATCAAGCAAACAAACAAACAAAAACAAACAAGCAAACGGACAAACAAGCAAGCAAGCAAGCAAGCAAGCAAGCAAGCAAGCAAGCAATCAAGCGCGCAATCAAACAAACGACAACCAACAAACCAACCAACCAGCCAGCCAGCCAGCCAACCAGCCAGCCAGCCAGGAAAGCAAACAAACAAACAAAGCAAGCAAGCTGACAAACAAGCAACGCCAACAAGCAGGCAATCAAGCAAACAAGCAAGCACAATCAGCCAGGACTCAACATTCGGAGTGATTCCGAATTTGCGCCTTTGGGTGACAACTTGGCAAACCGGAAAAGACCAGACCCGGAACTCTGTTTAAAAACCTCGCAAGCACCTGCAAACTCCTGCAAAAACCCGCAAACTCCCACAAATCGAAAATAGGCGGGCGGAGTTTCCGGAGAGTGCATTTTCAGTAATTATAAGCATTGGACTACCCACTCGAGGGCACAAAGTTGCATGATTGATGGGATAGTGCACAGAGTTGAGAATTGCGGGCCCAAACAATGCAAAAAGACAACAAGACCCGAAGGACCACTCCTAATTGTCGATGTTCACTCCTGCCGTTTGCACGCCACTCCTGCTTTTTGCTTGATGCAATGGAAACACCTGAAACACCCGGAGAACAGAAACCAGAGCTTGCTGCTTGAGTGTTTGTTTACCTGGAGTCTCCATGACCCTTGAAAAATGGTTGGTCATGACCCAAAATTACCCGGTGTCACGGACCCCTTTCTTGCGGGTCATGGATCTTTCTGCGCTTCTTGGTTCCCCTCCGTCCTGGCGTCCGTTCTCCGTCCTGGCGTCCGTTTTTTCTTTCTTTCTCCAGGGGTGCCAAGGTACATACCCCTTTTACATACCCCTTGGGCAAATGAACCCCCAAGAGGCCTGATGTTCATACCATATCCTCTCCCCCAAACGGGGTATATATCCATATAAAGTGGGTTGGAACCCAGAGAAACCAAGGAGTATGAACAAGGGGTATGTACTTGCGCCCTTAGACTTTTGTTGCGCCTTTCTTTGCTAGTCTGTCTACCTCGTGAATTTCCCATATTTCACTCGAGGTTTGTTCTCCACATCTGTGTGCGGGGCTCGTACTTTCACCGTATTTCAGTCCGTCTGCTGCGTCCTCCCGCCTCCTTCCGCCCGCCTCTCTCCACTCACTCACCCACCCACTCACTCTCTGACTCTCTCACTCTCACTCTCACTCTCACCCACACTCAAGGGGGGAAAAATGCCATGAAGTGCAATAAGCAAGCGGCCTTCGTACGAATTGCTTTGCCAAGTCCAGCTCTTCCAAGTACTAAGTTACTATAGTAACCTATCTGTACTGTGAGCAAGGTTTTCCATTCTGGTTTCCTCTGGTTGCCTATGGTAACTGGAACTGGGAAGGAGCGAACTCAAATGTCAATTGGCTGGTTACAAGACATACACCTGCAATTGTTGCAATGATTCCACAACCTGAAATAAGGGATCCCAAAGTCGTAAAGAATCTTTACCATGGTCAGCTCGTTTAACCCCCGGATCGGTGAGCTCGCCATAACACATGGAGAGACAAGGATGTCTCTTGAATAAAAAATGTGCGGTGTCGGCGCCGTTTGATCTCACTTGGGTTGAACAGGTCCTGGACGGTTTAGCCTGGCCTTGTCAAAAAGAACATGTCCAGAAACTGGGAAGCGACTGATCAACATGGAACCCAACCAACATCCGATTTATGGAGGAATCTTTTGGGAAATGAATGCCCCGGCTTATTGTTGTTTCAAGAGTCTCCTCGAACCGCTCAAGACCATATTTGGCGACTTGCGAGCAGTAGTCTGGATAGATAGATGTATATTATATACACATAGCGAGATATTGATTTATCAATTTATTAAACCAAAACAATACAGCCATATGCTCCCTTTCTTGCACCAGCAAGCTACAAGGAACTTTGGCAAGCTACAAGGATTCACTTCAAGGTACTCCTGCAGAACCAACACTTCAAGCCCCCCAGCTCAAGTTTTACGCCAGGGGGCCTTTCAAGACCACATGAACTAGGTCCTCCAGTAGAGACGTAAGAATAAGGGCAGCCTTTTGTTTCTGGAGTTTTTTTAGACACCGGGAACCCTCCAACCAAAATAACTAGAGGACGATTGGCCCGAAAGCATTTTTCCACAGGTGCTCATCCAGCCGCGGAGGCACCTTTTTACATCGCTGCGGCGAGCGTGTCTGCGCGCGGCGATGCTCAGTGTGTATGGTCACATGAGAGCTCCATCTCATCATCCTACTTTCCTCTCGAACTGCGCCGCGCGATTTCTCACGAAAGTGGTCTGCGCAAGCTGCATTGTTCCAGGCTGCTGCGCGCAAGTTGCTCTCTGCAAGCTGCTGCGCGCAAGTGCTCTGTGCAAGTTGCTCTGCGCAAGTGCTCTGAGCAAGTTGCTCTGCGCAAGTGCTCTGCGCCAGTTGCTCCGCGCAAGCGCTTTGCGCATGTGCTCTGCGCAAGTTGGTCTGTGCAAGTTGCTCTGCGCCTGCTCTGTGCAAGTTGCTCTGCGCAAGTGCTCTGAGCAAGTTGCTCTGCGCAAGGGGTCTGCGCCAGTTGCTCCGTGCAAGCGCTTTGCGCGTGTGCTCTGTGCAAGTTGGTCTGTGCAAGTTGCTCTGCGCAAGTGCTTTCTCCAATTGCTCTGTGCAAGTTGCTCTGCGCAAGTTGCTCTGCGCAAGTGACTCTGCGCAAGTTGCTCTGCGCAAGTGCTGCCGGAGCTGCGGGAGCACGCTCCGCATACTACGTCTGTACTTAAAAATTGCGATTTTCCACCCGGAGCTGCAGGAGCACGCTCCGCGTACTACGTTTGTACTTAAAAGTTGCGATTTTCAAGCCGGAGCTGCGGGGGTGTGCTCCGCGTACTACGTTTGTACTTAAAAGTTGCGATTTTCCAGCCTGAGCTGCGGGAGCACGCTCCGCTATGTAACTTGGCTCTATGTAACTTGGCTCTATGTAACTTGGCTCTATGTAACTTGGCTCTATGTAACTTGGCTCTATGTAGGCTCTACTTGGCTCTATGTAACTTGGCTCTATGTAACTTGGCTCTATGTAACTTGGCTCTATGTAACTTGGCTCTATGTAACTTGGCTCTATGTAACTTGGCTCTATGTAACTTGGCTCTATGTAACTTGGCTCTATGTAACTTGGCTCTATGTAACTTGGCTCTATGTAACTTGGCTCTATGTAACTTGGCTCTATGTAACTTGGCTCTATGTAACTTGGCTCTATGTAACTTGGCTCTATGTAACTTGGCTCTATGTAACTTGGCTCTATGTAACTTGGCTCTATGTAACTTGGCTCTATGTAACTTGGCTCTATGTAACTTGTCCAAGGGCTTCGCACGGAAGAACCCTTCGCGATGCTTTCAGGAAAAATAAAAAGGGCACAACTGAAGAACCTAGCGAAGAAACTGCTTTACTTTCTTGCTGTCCTGGACAAAGCTGTCCCCGAAGTTGGCATCAGAGCTGCTGCACTCGCCTGAACCCACTCAAGCCAGGCCTGGTGAGCCGAGGTCTCAAGGGAGGTCCAAGAAGTTCTTTGGAACCACAACTGAGCACCAACCACCTTCACTTGCTTCCCCTTGATGAAAGTTGCAGATTTTTTTTTGGTAGGCAATGAGGCGTAGCTCAGATACAGTACTGTTCTCATGCGTCAACTCGACCGCATGGCAACGGGTTCGATGTCTCCAACGTTATGTCAAGGATGGAGTCAAGGGCAGGCCATGACGGGGGGGGGGGACGCATGGACCTTTTGAGATTCAAGCAAAAGACACCCCAATATCTAGGAAAGTCTGCCCTCAAAACGGCACCCCAAATCTGAACCAGGATCCAAGATTCCCATGTCCTTTCGTCTGTTGGCCTGGATCACACGTGGGCACGCACAAATCTCTGAACGTGCTCGCCGCCCTGGTCCCAAAGGAAAAAGGAAACAACACCAGTTGGAGATGTGTTTTGTTCTCGCAGTCATTCCATTTGTCTCATCTGCTGAGCAGGACGAACCCTGAGCAGTTGAGAAGTTGCGAGTCTGGTCTCAGAAGCCCAGACATGGCTGCGAACGACAAACAAACAAATCCCTGAGGCACAAAGACAGCTGCAAAACCGGTGGTGTTCTGAGTGCCCAGAGCCAAACCCGAGGAGCTTACCCAGGATTCCAATAACCCGTGTTGTGAATCAGATGCACTTCACTAAGGAGACTTAGGGGAACACCTCCTAGCTCCTCGCTCGTGGTTCACATGGCGCTTTTTTGGGGGTCGGGACACCAAAATCCGCACCTCTTTGGCTTTGGGGGGTGGGGGGGTGTGCTTCACGAGTCGAAGCCCCCGAAAAGCACCCGCCTGGCTGTCGTCCCGAACTTGGCGTCGCCCCAAAGTCACCTGCGATGTGAGGAACTCGGCACATGTCCGGTAGGCAAAAACGCCCAAAGTCGAAACCACTCACAAACTCTGCCGATTGTGAGACACCTCGCAGGTCCCCAGGTCCGGCTGCAGTCGGATGCAGCTTTCCGACTTTGTACACGGCATTTTCCAACTCACGCTGGGCATATCGCCGCTATATGGGGAGTTGTCTCAATAGCATCTGCCATAGGAGTGCTCAAATTTGTCAGCCTGGCTTGATCAAATTCGCGAGACAGGAATCCACGTGTGCCAAGCAAAAGGTACGAGGCCGGTTTCCCTCTTGTAACACAAAACAATCTGCGGACCATTCGAGCGCCTTGCCTAAGTTGGTTGCCCACTCATTTTTGCGCTTGCCCAGAACGAACTTCCATGACTTCGCAGGAAAGATTCCACTTGACAAACGCCGAAACCACACAACCCGACCATCGGACTTCACCCTCTGATTTCCGTTTCAAACTTCAAACTCGCGTCAACTTCACTCCACTCCACACAAAGGATATTCATTTTGAATCCCTGTCGGTGATGTTTAAAACTGTGGAAATATGGGCGCGAAGGGAGCCTGTGGGAGCCTGTGGTCGACATCATTCACACGGGGATTCATGCTGCTCATAAAGATTCATGGCTACGGAATTTGGGTTGAGATCCTGAGACGGATTCTTTCCTAGGCATTTGGTGAGCGTGCCGAATGTCCTTAGTGGCGAACAGTGACCCAGATGTTCATTGGGGGACCCCTGGTCTGAGACGTCATCCGGGTCACCCAAATGAGTTGTCACTCAAAAGTGGCCACCCCCAATCCCCATGCGCGCAAAAAAAGGCGCCAAGCTCGACTGGAATTCGATTGGCCTCAACTACCCCTCGCGACTTGATGGGCTGTTTAAACCTTGACGGAGCATTAGGGTGTAACCCTGCCACATGCGCACCGGCTCTGCTTGTTGCCGCACCTGTCTATGTGTCTCTCCGCACTGCTGAACACAACGGCTAATATCAACATCCAATCGGAATTGGGAAGAGCAACTCCTGGTTCTCCAGTGCCCTTTTTGGGTCCCAATGAAATGTGCTCTCGTCGCATCAACGAAGGGGTGCTGAGAAATGTGCCAAGAACAAAGGCCACGTCATAGAGCAAAAAGAGCAAACCAACTGTCAAGGAGTTGCTTGTTCAGAATCTCCCAAATAGGTGTGTCAAGTCGGGACATCCTGTCATTGGTGATTCTGAGAGATGGTCCCACATGACCCAGTAACCAGTCCGGTCGAGATCGCTTGCCAAGAAGCGCTGCAAGCTGTCAGGGCCCCATCCCACTCCCACTGCCGTGTGCCTTCGTTGCAAATCGCCGCCAAATCGGAACGCTCCGAGCCGCAAACGTGCCGAACATCTCCTTGAGGGCTCAGGACATCAACTACAGCAGTCTGTGTGATTCTTTCTTTCATTGACTGCTTGTATAGGTTGGTTTGATTTGACGTGATTTGGAGTTATTCGGTGTATGTTGTTCTTGTTGGCCTGTTTATTGAGCTCAGCTTGTTCTGCCTTGAATTCGGGTTG